CAGGGTGATGGGGCAGTGGGGTCCAAACCTCATGACACCCATGAGATTCACCTCTTTGGAGTCAGCACTGACTTTCCACGCAGTGGGAGAGGAGGCAGCAGGAGGAGAATGTGAGAACCAAGCCATGGAGGTTCCCAGCTGTGCACCCGCAAGGAAGGCACCGGCAGCTCCTCAGCCTTCGTTGCCCTGGTCCAAGCTGGGAATGGGCCTCCTGCCCCGTGCTGGGTTTACTGCGTGCTGCTGCTCTCGTTCAACTTGAGCAAACGGCTCCTCTGGAACTGCCCTTCCCGTCCTGGTAGAAAACAGACAGGAACTGAATTTCCCTTCTGTGAGGAATTCTGAAAATAGCTTTGTCTGCTTCAGAGGAAAAAACATAAATGCTATCATGATGTGACTGCGCTGACCCTGCTGAGGCATGGATGTGCGGTTTCACCAGTCCTCTGTGCAGGCCACCCTGAGGGGACCCTATTGCTGGGCTCTGTGGTGCTCAAGAGTGTCTGTCTGGACCAGGCTGAAGATTTTTCTTCCATGACACGCTCCTGATGGTTCACCAAGGATGGAGCCTGAGCATTGCAGTCCTTAGGCCATAGCATCTCTGCCAGAAACCAGCTCCCCTGTGGGTGGGGGACCTCTCCAGTGAGCTGGCTGGGGCCCAGTCTCCCTGCACCATGCTGCTTCCCCTCGCTCTCCTTCCTCTGGGTGCTCTTGTTGATCTGGGGGGGGAGAGCTGTTCACACCTGGACCTCTGGATCTAGCTCCTGTTCATGTTATCTTTGCTGCTCGTAGCTGAGCCTCTTGGCTAAGCCCATGGAAACGGCCAAGCATGGAGGCTCCTGAGGTGAAAGCCCTTCTTTGATGGGAGCTGGGAGGAAGGTGTGCGGGGCTCTGGTTGTTGTGGCTGGAGTCTGGCCAGGACTGTGCAAATTTAGCAGAGATCAGAATTTCCTCTCCCTGCCCCCATCCCCACCTCTGATCTGTGCTGGTCTCTCCTCGCTCATCCTCCCATCGTTTCTGCTCCTTGCTTGTCATGTTCTCAGCCGCCTCTACCCACTGCACTGAGCTCCGTGTGGCTGGTCTCCGCCCTTTGCCGCTGCCAGGTCCTGAGTGCTGGGTGTTTTTCTTTAATGGGTGTATCACTTCCAGCTCCAATGACTGTGCGATAGCACAACGCTGTGTCTGCCTTCAATTAGCACTGTTGGTGAAGTGTAGCTCCTCGTTCCTTGTTCCCTGGGCTGGCGATGTGGAGTGCAGCCTGGGGGTTTGCCCCCTCCTGCCCTTGCAAGGCTCATGAGCTGCTCTTGGGGAGCGTTTCTGTGCTCCAGCCAGCTGCCCAGTGGTGAATTTTGCCTTCTGTGAGTTTCTATCTAAATATGTGAAATAACGTGTTTTCTCTCCTCTTCCCAGAGCCCATCTTCAGAACTGCAGGCTAGAAATGCCCCTGAATAAAGGGAAAAGTAGGACATTGCCCTATTGCTGCTAGTGCATATCCACAGCTCTTCCCACATGTGCTGCATCCCCTGCCCAGAGCTGTGCTTACCCCAAGCCGGCTTTTACAAGCCAAAGGAGGGGGACATTGCAGAAGGGTGGGCATGCAGTTTGGCTCTGCTCTGTCTCCACTGTTAGTAGGCAATTGCTCAACATGGCAGTAATGCGGAGGGGCTGGACTGTGCCAGACAGTGCCCATTGATTTTTTTTTTTTTTTTTTTCTTTTTCCTTTGCTGTCACAGTTTGACAAGGAAGGACTGGTCCATGAGGTGGGGTGGGCTTGGTGCACTCCAAGCCTGCCTTTCCCTTGCTGAGGGAGCTGTGGGTTGGGGCTGGGCAGAGCTCTGCTCTGACAGTCAGAGAGAGACCTGGATTCTGCTGCCAGCTTCACCCCTGAGCTGCTGCTACTGCCTGCCTGGAGAGGAGGTTAGAGGTGCCTGTGGCCTGAAAGCCAGTGGAAGAAGAGACTTTGGTTTTGCTGTAGATCTTGAAATGGCAAAGATGTGCGTTTCCCTGCTGAGTTCTGCTGCACACCGTGTGTGAGATGTCCTGTGTGCTATTTTTCCTCTTCTAAGAGTGTCGTACATCAGATTTCTGTTTGGAGCAGCAGGCCAGAGTTTACTCTGGGCATTTCCAGGGGCTGCTTGGAAAGTGTGTGTGTGGGGGGCAATCAGGAATGACAGGGGCAAAATAAGGTTTGGCTTGGCTGTCTTTGGGAAGTTTTTACACAGACCAACCTGAGCCAGTGGCTCTGGGTGTGTCATATGGCACATTTGAGGGACGCAAACATGTCCTCTCCTTGGCCCGTCATTTTTGGTTTGGTGGCTCTGGGTAGGAGAGGAGCCAGGATAAGCAGCTGCAGGAGAGGCAGAGGAGGCTGCATATGGGACCAGGTGACCCTCCTTCAACATTTTGAAAGCCATAGTGTTGGCCACACAGTCTTAAGATGCTCTCTGTAGCCAAGACCTACCCTTCTGGGTTTCTTTTCCTAATCTGCTCTCTGCGTTCCCAGGCATGGCCTCCTGGCTGGAGTTCCTCCCTGGCTGGTAGTCCTGAGAGCGAGTGTGATGTGTGAGAGCTCGAGGCGCTCAGGACACAGTAGCTCCTTGTTTCTCTCTGCACTGTCAGCACAGCTCCTGAGGCCATGAACAACACTGTGGTTTTGTCGCAACCAAATCATTGTTGACTTTATCTGTGATCCCAGCTCAGAAGAATGCTGTGATTTGGTGCAGTGGGCTCATAGGGACACAGCATGTCTCCATGTACCCATGGAAGATGCTTGTGGTTGGTGGCCATGTGGCCTGCGGTCCTCAGACAAGGGTTTACCAAGCTATGAGAATTCATGGGGGTTGGAGAGGGTTTGCATGCAGCTATTGTGGTTTATGGTGTGGAAGGACTGGTGAAACCTCTGTGTTATCTCAAGTAAGTTTGGATGCATCTTGGGTTTATGCAGTGTAGACGGTGTGGTACCTTCATTGCTCCTCAGTCATGCACAAGCTGCAGGCCCTGGTGGTGGAGTCCTCCAGTCAGGAAAGCAAGAATTAGGTATTGTGAGTCTAGGAGAAAAAAACACAACAGTGTCATGAGCGTGGTCTGACCTACCACGGGGCCGGGAGGACGTTGTAGGATTATCAGCTCCCTGAGGAATGGAACAACGCTGCAAAGCAGGGACAGAGCCACCGAACAGGGACGTGTTCTGAGAGGTGGCAACTTCTGCCACACCTGGATCTCAGTCCAGGCCTTCCATTTGACTATTACACTCAGAAATGACTGGGAACAAAACCCAAGGGGTATAATTTAAGGGTGCTGCTGGCTGGGCAGGATGATTTGGAAAAAAGCTTCATGCATGCAATGTGATAGCTGCTGTATGGCAGGAGTTTTCCTGCACTGGGAAGGTTTCCCGGTTCTCCTTTCTTTGTTTTTCTCAGTCTTTAGGACCTTGTGCCTGCAATTTCTGAGCTCACCTTCCCTCAGCTTGCAGGTTGGCAGCATAGGTAAAACACTGTTCTTCTTTTTCCTTCCTCCTTTCCTTTTTTCCAGCATGCGGCATGTATAAAAGCCAAGTTTCTAAGACCTTTCCACTTTCACAGCTGCCCCCAGACTTCAGGCCACTGGAGACCTTGCAGTAACTTGGTACCTTAGAGCAGAACCTGGTGTCAGCCATGCTTGGGGTGCACGGTGGAGGCCCTGGGTTGTGGCCTGAGGGGACCAGAGCAGACCCCACTGATCAGGTGCTCTCTGGAGCTGCTGCCAGAGACCTGCAGCTCCCAGAGAAGCAGCGGGAGCTCTGGCTGCGAGCAAGGCAGGAGCGTGGCAGCAGCCTGCGTCCTTCCCCGTTTGTGAGCAGAAAGCTGCTCAGGAACCCGTGTGGCAAGTGGCAGGTTCCTCCAGCACCACCAGTGTTGCCATTTCGTGTGACTTTGTTATAAGTGCTGTGATATTAACCCCTCAGTTACTGGAATCAAGTGATTATATGAGATTATCAGCTTTTGTCTGTTTCGAATAAATTCCTGTTCAGTTTGTACGGCTGCCTAGAAAAGCTGGAAAGCAGGTCTTACATGTAGGCTTAGAGCCCGAACTTGAGGTTTGAATGATTTTTCTGTGTATGCTGGGCTGGGTAGTTGTGCTTAACAAATACACAGATACTTCTTTATTTTGAAATGTCTTCAAGCTTAAATGGTTGCTGTAAGGTCCAGAATACATCAGCTGCTCTTCCAAGTGGATTCAGAAATGAGGCTGTAATATAGCCTGGGCTAGACAACAGATGGACCTGCACCATGTGGAAGCAGATCCATGTCAACCAGGGCTAGGATCAGGGGGTTAAGTTTGTACCCGGCTTTTTGGGAGCTTTCCAGACCCTTTAGACCTTCGCATGCACAACCAGAAGCAGCACATTTTCGCCAAAAGCAGGTTTTCTTGCAGCAAACCTTTGTCTCAGCTGCATCAGTCAAGATATCTAAGAAATCCTCCAGCTGAATAAGCCCATCTGACAAAAGGACTCAGGCTCATGGCTGGGACGGCATCCGGTACGTGCACAACCTCTCCGCGGGACACTGGCAGAGCAAGAGACATTGCTTCTGGCCTGCGGCCGCAGTGGCTTTTGTCCTGTCCTTGCTGGCAGGCTCCTCCTGCAGCACAGGCGGAGGCAGGAAATCCCAGCCAGCTGCCGTGGGGGGCCACCCGCCTTTCCTCTCTTCTCCTCGCCTCTCCTCACGTCGCCCAGCCGCCGCGTCGAGGCGAGCTGAGCCAGCCCTGCGTGTGTGTGCATGCGTGGGCGGGGGGGCTGCCGCATGGATTTAGTGAAGGCTGGGAGGGAACACATGGGTTGGGTTTTTTTTTCTTGGCCCACGGTGGCTGTCTGTCCTGCCGGCCGCGGTTATGGATTCAATCATTATTCAGGAGCGGTTAGTGGAGCGGCTGCTTTCTCCCCGGACGCAGGCACAGCGAAGCCACCCAGCCAAGCTGAAGGTACGGGGATGTATTTATAGCACTGTGCAAGCCGGGGAGCAGCAGGGACAGGAGGGGGGAGGATGGTGCCCGAGCAGACGTGTGCAGCACAAGATGAGACCTCTGAGGAGCAGAGGAGTGGAAAGACGCTGGTAAGGGGGAGATGGTGGGGACAGAAAGGAGGGGAGCAGCCCCTGCAGGAGCAGGGCTGATGGGCACAATGGACAGCTGGGAGATGCGTGACATATTTTTGTGTGGTTATTTGATGCAGTGATTCCCCCTCTGAATGGCGTATGTGTGCTTGGGGGCGCTCAGGGCAGGAGTTAGCGCTGCGTGTGTGCCCAAACGCAATCTGGTTTGTGTTTTCGTGTTAACGCTGTGCTCTGCTAGCCCATTTTCTTTCTGCTGCAGCAAATGCTGGTGGGCGAGTGGTTTTGCTGATACTCCCGTGCTCAGCTCCAGGCCTGAGGCAACAAATGTACACGGGAGATGCGCCGGGGGCTGTTTGCATTACAAATTTTATGCAGCTTTCTGGCAATGAAAGGAAGGGTCTGCTTCTCCTCTGGGGCTGGGCTGTGCTGGTTTGTGCGGACGTGGATGTGGCGGCCGTGCCTGGCCAGAGGGGAACGGCTGGAGGAAGGGCTGTCTGGGAGGGAGCTGGATGGCTACGTTGGAGGCTGTAACGCTGAGAAGGCTCCCCCCAAAGAAGTGGAGGCAGGGGCACCAGGATCCCAGCACAAGCTCCATAATTTCTGGGGTTTGCTCCAGACCTGGGGTAGGGACCGTTCTTCAAATTTTCTGTGGTCCTATGGTGTTTAATTTTAGCCCTCTTGGATATACCCAGCAAGGCTCCATTTATCCCCAGGCTGAGTGGTGAGTCACACGAGATCTGGATTGGTTTAAACAGCACATCCACCAAGGAGGTAAGGAAGGAATCAGGAATGGCAGGAGCAATGGAGGCCATGCTGCGTACCCTGTCTTGGAGGTGCAGACAGCCCTGCGGACACTGCGGTACTGGTGGTGGCTCCTCCTCTTATGCAACACATCCCAAATGTCTCTACCTCTGACAGGAACAGGACTTGAACCCAGCAGTACTTTGTTCCTTGGCTTGAACTCCAAAGGAGAGCGCTGCCAGCCAGGGAGCATTGGCCACCTTGGCTGGGTGGTGGAGGATGTGAGGACGCAGTGTGCTGCTGTGATGTCCGGTGAACCTGCAAGTGTGTGCCGAGGGAAAGTACAGACAAGTTTTGCTTGGCTTGGCGAGCTTTGGTTTGTAACACGGCCCCAAAGGTCAGCCACATCTCTTGGTGACCTCCACTGTGGTGTGTGAGACATATTCCCAGGCACGTGGGAGCAGGATGCCTCTGGGAACAAAGGCAGCACATAGAGGAGGCAGTGGGGCGAGGGGCTTCTTGTGCCAGAGTGCCACTGGCTTGGCTGGCCGGGGCCATTTCCCGGCAGCTGGGGCTGGTGAAGGAAGTGTGGTGCAGTGACTGGCTGTCCCAGCCTGCATCAGCTTGATGGGAGCCGGCTTGCGAGGGTCAGCTGCGTGTGGAGGGGGCTGTGATGGCTCCAGAAACTCCCTCACTACAAGTCTTTCATCTAATTAATGGATTTCAGCTTTTCACAACCAAGGCAGCCACCTGCCTCCATCAGTAGCCCTTCCAGCCCTCTACACCTGCTTTGGCACTCTCCATCCCATGCATGGTTGCATCTGTGTTGGGTCCTAACAAAGATGATGAGTGGTGTAGAGGTTTGAGTGCGGCAGACGCCAGGCTCAGGAGGCTATTCGGGCTCCTTAAGTGCAATGTTGATGTTGGCACACTAGCAGAGATGGTGACACGTGCCTGTCACAGTGTCCTGACATGGCTGGGATGGGAGCACGCGTTGGTTGTCTTAAAGCTGAGATAAGGAACTGTGGGTCTAGGCTGGCCATGGTGCAGGGACCATGCTGTTGTTCCTGAGGGAAGGATGTTAGAAGAAGGGGATCTCTCTCCACAATTTCCCCTGCATCTCCTGCCTTCTCCTTTACAGACATGTTGGCTCTGGCTCCTGGCAGGGCTCTGTAGTGTGTCCACGGCTGGTCAGAGGGGGACATGTCTGGGGACAGGGCTTTTCTCCTTCTGACTCTGGCTGCCTCCCACTGAGAGGGAAGCTCTTCTTTTGGCTTTGTGCTCAGCAATGACCTTCCTTAATGCAAGGGAAATGACCGCATGAATCATGAGTAAAGGGCAGTGTCCTGCGCCAGCCGGGATTTGCTCATTTCAAGTGTCCTGATTCCACCGAGCTAGTGGGAGGTTACCGGAGGTGCAGCAAATCCACACTTTCTTGGTTGGGCTGAATAGAAACAAGAGATCAGGTTCAGCCAGTTATGCTTGGCTGAAGTAATTGGAGTTGTACCAGAGCTCATCTCCCCAGTGTCACCATTGTCAACCCTTAGTCATCTAGGTTGAAAACCAAAGAAAATAAGAGCAGCACACCCTGAGCCTCAGCTATGGTTTTATTAGTGTGTTACTAGTGCTATTTCAGATGTCAAGTCACTGGAGAGATCAGGTCTTTCCAAAGATCTTGCCATTACCACATTTCTCTCCCTCCTTTGCACTCCTCATGTTTACCCTTTCCTGAGCCTTTTGGGTGGCGGGTGGCAGGTGGCGGTGTCCCCAGGCAGGCGTTGCTTTGCAGCGTACAGCTCGTCAGAGCTGCCATCGCTTTTCACCCAGGAGTCTTGCTGCTGCTCATTGCACCACTGCTTTGGGATGCCAGCGCCTTTTAGCTCAGCTGTTAGAGCTGCCAGTGGAGCACTTCAGGCACTCTATAATTCTCCACACTTCTCTGTCATGTCATTTGCTCTGTCCCTTCTTCACTGTGGGGTGATGGAGCAGCATTACTTCAGTTACGTTAGCAAGGGGGTGAGGTGAGGGGGACCAGAGCCCACAATCACTCTGTCAGGGCTAAAGTGACCAAGTCTGAGACCTAAACCAAACCTAAATTTCTAGAAAGCAGTGGCCATGCTAAAGAACAGAGTCCTTGGGCCACAATGGCCATCAGCCACATCTGCCCTGTCTCAGTGGGCAGCTCCTGAGCAGCCATAAATTAGGAGGAGGAGACTCCATGTCCTCCCTGCTGTCTGTCCCCACCAGGACTTTGTAGCCTGCCCAGCTGAGGACACCTGAGGATGCTCACACATGTGGATGTGTGGCCAGGGGCTGTAGAGGGCTGCTCGGGAGCTGCATTGCCCACTTGCAGTATGGAAATAGGTGTGAGTCAGCATTGCCCTAAGCTTGACACATGGTTGTCATTTGTGTTTCTTTGAGTGTGTGCCCCAGGAACAGAGATAGTTAAACTTAGGAACAGAGGTCTTCCCTGCTGTGCCTGGAGAACCAGTGCCAGAGAGCTGCGGGGTGAGGACAGCCGTATGCTTGACAGCGTCTGTGGCTGGGTGGGAGCTGGGGCTGGTTTTGAGGAGCTCTGGCTCTGTGGATTTGCCTGTGTGTGAATCCCGGGGATGTGTTTATTTTAAGTGATGTTGAAATGCAGTGTCTATGTCTCTAGCTCAGGCATTTGTGAATGGCTGCTTCCCCTTGGGTCTAGCTTGGAAAGTATGTGAGAAGGGAGGTGTTTGCCAGCGTCGTGCCCGCTCTCCCTCTGTGAGGAGGCCTGGGGAGGGGAGCGCAGTGCTGTGGGGGTGCAGTCTGTGAAGGCCCGGGTGCTCAGGGGTGCTCCGAAGGCTGGCTGGCTGGAGCAGCTGGGCTGTGTGGGCCCACGGTTACCTGCAGCTGCCCGAGCTGTGAGCACCAGACGGTGTGTTGAGCCCAGCCTGAGGGCAGTAGCTGGAGCAGGTCTGTGAATCCCATAGATGAGCTGCATTTCCCTTTCAGGACGTACGCTGCGTGAGCAGGGTGTGTGCCCCTGGGATGCAGCGTGGGCTGCGTGTTTGCTCCTGGCTGCGGGATGCGTGCTGTGTGCTTGTGAAACGCACCATTGGTCATGTCATTCCTTGTGTGCACTTCGTGCTCTTGTACAAAGCATGTGGCATGCCTGTGGGGTGGCTTTTATGCAGTAAGAGAGCACTCAGTGATGGGGGTCTGCATCTGGGGGTGGTTAGGCAGTAGGTAATGCTCTGGTAATGCCATATGTAATACCCTCACCAAAATCAGCTCACCTCAGTGTTCTCAGTGCTTTTGCATCTTCCTACTTCCCGTGCTCCTTGAACTTCCATCTCTTCAGAAATAACACTGGAGATTATTCAGGATTTCCTCTTACTAAGCCAGGAGTGGCTGTGACACAGCAAGAAATAATCCCTTCTCAGGTCAAGCAGAAGCCAAACCACCGCACCTTCCTCTAGATATGGCTCACCACAAGTCCTGGGGTGCTAATTACAGAGAGCTCTCCAGAGAGCTCTCCATCATGTACTATATGTCCCTCTGGAGGGAGAGATGCAGAAATGGCTCCGAAAGACCTGGGGAGAGGTGACATTTGGTGACCGTGCTGTGAAGGAAGCCTGTGCAGGAACCGTGGGATGTGCCTTTTCCCTTGTGCTCTTCCATGCTGGGAGGATGCTGTGAGCTGCTGTGTCAGCTGGTGAGAGCAGCCAAGCAGGGCTGCAGCTGAGGGCAGGTGTCCCTCTGTGCCCACCTGCAGGAAGGGCAGGAGTCCCTGAGCCTAGAGGGGGTGCCTACCCTGCCCCACACCACTGCCAGGGCAGGGACCGACCTCTCCTCCACCCCTTGGCTCTGCCTCAGGGATTTTTTGAGTCCAACTCCCTGTCGCTATGTGAGGCTTGAGCAGGAAGGGTGGCACGCCCTGACCTGCTCCCATCCACCTCTGCCCTGCAGGACCATGAGAAGCAGTATGTGGGCTTTGCCACTCTGCCGAACCAGGTCCACCGAAAATCCGTGAAGAAGGGTTTCGACTTCACCTTGATGGTCGCAGGTGAGACTATCCACGGATGGAGGTAGCTGGGCCACGTGGTGGGTGCGTGGAGGGGACCCAGCTCTCCTCACTTCCCGTAGGTGGTCCCTTAGCATCTGGATCCTCCCCTCGCTCTGTTCTGGTCCTTGTCTCAGACCTTGCTTTGCTCCCCAGCCTGTGTTGCAGTCACACTGTTCCCCCAGGAGCAATGAGCCCCTCCTGACCACTCATAACCCACTCAAGCAAGCACCAAGTGTAGCTTCTCTTCCAAAAGAGTGGCTGGTCTGGGTGGTGAAGGCAGGGTCAGGCAGGGATTGAGGGAAAGGAAGGAGAGGGAGGATGGAGGAGCTGGGAGATCACATTTGTACAAGGATTGAGATATCTTACAGCAAAAGTCCTCCCACTGCTAGAAAAATATAATGCCCATAAACAGCTGACAGCTCATTTCTCTCACTTCCTCTGGCTCAGGATTCAAAGCCTTGTTCAGAGTTTCATTTGTAAGTCAATTAGTCCGTCATGTTGCTTGCTTTTCCCTCCTCCCCTTTGCACCCTGTCAATTAGGAGAGTCGGGTCTGGGCAAATCCACGCTGGTGAATAGCCTGTTCCTGACAGACCTCTACAAAGACAGAAAGCTCCTCAACGCAGAGGGTAAGTTGGGGACAAAGAGGGGTGAATGGTTCTTGTGCCCAGAGGTCTAGACTGTCCTAAGGACCCATACTGTGGTTCCTTCGCAGCAGCTGCAGGCTTGGCTGGATCCCAGCCCTGTTGTTTATTGCTCTGCTCTCCTTTGCTGGCTGCAGAGGCACTAGTATTTGACAAAAAGGGTTTGGCTGTAGGACTCTTCTATGAAGAGAAGACATGGCTGCAGAGCAGCAGCAGGCCTTTGGGTTGAGATGTTGAGATCTGTCTTTTGTTCTTGTGTGCTGGAGTGTGGTAGGGATTGCCCTTCCCAAGTGACTGGACAAAATGTTCTGGGCTACAGGCACTTCAGAGGTTTGCGTGTCTTCTCAGAGTCTGCCTGCTGCTGGCGTCCCACAGTACCACTCCCTTGAGGCTCCTGAGAGGATGATCAGGGTTTTTTGAAACCCATGATACTCCCTGTGCTCAGTGATAAGGATGGACCCAGCTTGTCATGGGTGTGAGCAAGGATCCCCAGTTACTACCTGGCTTTAACTCACGTATTCCTGTTCAAAGAGAGAATCAACCAGACAGTGGAGATCGTCAAACACACGGTGGACATTGAGGAGAAGGGCGTCAAGCTGAAGCTGACCATAGTGGACACACCAGGCTTTGGAGATGCTGTTAACAATACTGAGTGGTGAGCTGGCCGTGCTGCCTTCCTCCTAGTCCTTGGCCATGTCTGCTTTCTGTGGGTGCTTCACAGGAAGGGGGTCTGGTAACAGGAAGGGGATGATACTGCTTCATGCTCCCTTGGAGTCAGTGTTCTGTTAAACACGTGATTTTTTTTTTTTTTTTTTTTTTTTTGGATTGAATTACCCTTCCCAGCTGGAAGCCCATCACTGACTACATCGACCAGCAGTTTGAACAGTATTTCCGAGATGAGAGCGGCCTGAACCGGAAGAACATCCAGGACAACCGAGTGCATTGCTGCCTCTACTTCATCTCGCCCTTCGGGCACGGGTGAGAGCCCCCACTCCGGGGCTGGGTATGACTCAGTCCAAAGGGAAGACTCTTGTGCCCCGCGATTACCCTGTAGCGGTTTGTACATTCACAGGGCTGTTGGCACAGGAGAAGAGCCATCCAGCTGCTCTCCTTCGGCTGAGCATCACACCACCTCCCTCCCACTCACTGGCATGACAGATCTCCCTCAGGCTTTACAGCCTGTTTTGGAAATCAGGAGAAAAGATGCCACACATACTTGTATCTTCCTGTCTGACTAAGCCTGACTGATGGGTAGGAAAGGGAGTTTTAAGCTGCTCTCACTCCCTGCCCCTTGCTGGTTCATGTGCCAGCCTAGCCAGGAGCAGCTGGAGGGGTCGTGTTGGCTGCCTGTGGCACAGAGCAGCCGGACAGAGGCCCCAGGCTGTCGCCTGGGCGATATTTTGCCTGCAAGGGAGCGAATACCCAGCCTGTGCCTGTGTGAGACATTCAGCAGCTAAAATCTGAGACAGCTTTCCTGAAGATGCAGCCCTAGCTGAGGGCTGTCCCAGTGCTGCCCCAGGCTCTTGTGACAGCGCTCTCCTTTTCCTTTTGTGCTTGGTGGGTGGGAGAGGCTGGAGGGGGAGCTGCCTGGTGTGTCCTTGCTAACCGTGTTGCTCCTCATCCCTGCTGCAGGCTGAGGCCTGTGGATGTTGAGTTCATGAAGGCTCTGCATGAGAAGGTCAACATTGTGCCCCTGATTGCCAAAGCCGACTGCCTGATCCCCTCTGAGATCCGGAAGCTAAAAGAGAGGGTGAGATGCTCTTTCTCTACAGGGGTATACCTGGTGTGGTGACAGGGATGGGCTGAGGAGGAAGGGGAGACCTATATATGTATATAGCGTGTATGTGTGTGTGTATATACACACACACATATGTATATACATACACACAAATCTAATTGCAGCAGTGCTTTCCTGTGAGAAGGGAAGTGGTGTCTGCAAAGAGGCCAGCCCTAGAAGAAACATCAAAACCTTTCAGCATCTGTAGGTTACAGCAAACCTATGGTAGCACAAACCAGGAATAAACCCAGTATTTCTGTATTGTTCAGAGTTGTGTTCTTTTGTTTTTGTCTTGCATGGACATAGATCCGGGAAGAGATTGACAAATTTGGCATTAAAGTGTACCAGTTTCCTGAGTGTGACTCTGATGAAGATGAGGAGTTCAAGCAGCAAGATAGAGAGCTGAAGGTAAGGAACCTGCTCAGCAGGGGACCGGGAAGTCTGGCTCACGGGTATGTTGGTTGCTCCAGAAGGCGTCGGAGCTGCCCTATGTTTGCCAAAAGCCTGTGCTACTGATACCCAGGGGACAGCCTACATTGCTTATGTGGAAAAGGTGCTGATGTCCTTGCTGGTGCAATGAAGTCAAGTATGGCATGAAGACATGGCACTTCCCACCAGGCAGTGTCAGTCTTTCCTTGGTCTACCCCAGCCTCTATGTTTAAGATGGAGGCTGGGTTGTACAGCATTTGTAAGCACCTATTTCTGAGTGATGCCATCAGCAAGGAAGAGCGATTTGTGCATGATGAGGATCCACTGTGACACAATAGTTGCATGAGGGGAGGCAATATGATTATACAGGCCTGTCTGGAGGCTCCAGCAGCCCAGGCCTGACCCTCTCCCAAGCTGAGCCAGCCCCGTGTGCGCATGCAGTATGGCCTTGTTTTTCCTGTCAGAGAAGTGCAATGGGCTTTGGCTTCCCTTCTGAGCAGAGAGGAGCACAGCCTGTGCATCCCTGCCTGGACAAGCTCTTGGCCTCCATTGTCCCAGTTGCTTGGTGTCTCAGCGTCTCTGCTCTGGCTTCCTTGTAGAGCTTCCCCTCAAAGAAGGGATGCAGGCACCTGCAGAGACACAGCTTCCCTCAGGACAGCTGAGAAGGTCAAGCTGGGAATTAGGCTGCCTGCAGATCCCAGTGCCTTAGGCTTTTCTCTGCAACTGTGTTGTGGTGTTCTGTGCTGTGGCATGTGTGGTTGTCCCTCTGCCTTTCCTACCAGCACCTTCCTCCTCCTGTTCCACTCTACCTGAACTTGGCCCTTGGCGGAGGGGTCCGTGGGCAGCCCTGGGCTGAGCTGGGCTCAGCAATGCCTCTCATTCCAGGAGAGTGCTCCCTTTGCCGTCATTGGCAGTAACACTGTGGTGGAGGCGAAAGGCCAGCGAGTCCGTGGACGGCTCTACCCCTGGGGCATTGTGGAAGGTAAGCGTGGTGCCTGGGAGCTGGCAATGTGAGCAAGGAGCAGGCAGGGATGGGGGAAGGACAAGTGGGCACGTGCAACAGGGATGACAGGGGAAGCTGACCTCTGCACAGCCGTGACTGACTGTGCCACCTTTGGCACATGGCAGAGGACAAGGTAGGGTAGAGACAGAGGCACTGGGACCTGCTCAGGAGGTCTGTTACTGGTGGTGTAGCAATCACCCTGCCTCTGAAGCTGTGACAGACTGAAGAAGAGAGGTTCTAGTCTGAATGGAAGAATGGGCTTTAATGCACTGGGATATGGCTTCTTATTAAGGGGGAGGCTGGGCATTACCAGTTTAGTTTCTGGAGAGAATCCATTGCCCTCAGCCAAACTGAATTGTAAACCCTCCTGCACTCCCTCTGCTGCTGCTGCTCCTGTTTGTGCTGGAGTTGCTGGGCTGAAGACTGTGCTGATGTGCAACGTGATTGTCTCTGCCTTTCTTCCTTTCTAAAGGAGGAGATTTCATAAAGCCTCTAGGCAGAATAACCCTGGCATGGCTTTTGCTGCTGTTGCTGACTCCCCCCATGCTGGCGCATTGTTTTAAGGTCTTGCAGCTTTAGATCCCAGAAGCTTGTGTGTGCACTCGTGGGCTGATGCTGGCTGCTTGGGCTGCTCAGCTGCTGGCTCCAGAGGGGCTGTGCCTGTCAGGGTGCTGGCATTTGGCAGTGAGATCAACTTTGTGAAACCCTGAGCCTGACACAGCTGGCTTCCCCCAGCCCTGCAGAGTGGTAAATGGAGATCACCACGGCAGGCACACAACTACTGCGCACAATGCTTCCCTGCAGAGTCCCACAGTGTTGCCTGAGGCCTGGCTCCCCATAGTAACAGCAGCTCTTTCAGCTCTCCAGACTGTAACCTGTATATGGCTTTGCCTCTCAGGGGCTGATTCACGTCCTTGGGGGAAACCATCCTGCCTACAGCAGCCTTTTGATCAGTCCTAAATTCTGAGGAGACGAGCAGTTTGCCTCCAGCGCTCACTGTGGTTATAACAAGGACATCCCATGTACCTGGGAACAGCATCCTCTTTCAGGGCTCTGCTGTACGTGCTTAATTAATCCCCTTACCCAGAAAAAGTCCTGGGAACACAGTGACCTCAGCAGCCTGGCCTCAGCGTTGAGAAGCATAGAGCACCATTGAGGCCTGCGCCAGGGCCAGGAGGAGAGCCCCAGGCACTGGCGGGGAGGATGAGGAAGGGGCTGTGTGGGGAGTTTTAGTTCAGCCTGGGTGTCGGGAGGTAAGAAGTGGCACCCTGGAGAGGGGTGGTGAGGTGTGACATCCAAGCACTCTCCTGTTGTTGCTTCTGCAGTGGAAAACCAGGCACACTGCGACTTCGTGAAGCTGCGGAACATGCTGATCCGGACACATATGCATGACCTGAAGGACGTCACTTGTGATGTTCATTATGAGAACTACCGAGCTCAGTGCATCCAGCAAATGACCAGGTGGGTCCCCACTGCTTCAGCCGGAGGTGGCAGGGATGTCTCCTTCTCTGCAGCGCTGGGGTTGGTCTCAGAACAGCTTGTTGGTCAGGAGGCTGTGGGGCTGCTTGGGGATATCCTGGGCTGCAGCCTGGGGAACGGCACCGAGATGTGAAATAGCAAATCCAAGTGTGTGTTGCACAGCCTGAATACTTCTGAGAATGCATGTTCCTTCCTGAGGATTACCCATGCAAATCTTGGGAAATAGGCCTGGAGACTCATTTGAAGAGCTGTTCTTAGCACTGGGTGAAATACATCCAGCCTAATGAAACAGGGGATAAACCATTTCTCTGGTGGGTGATAGCTGTGTGCATTGCCAAGGAGGAAGGCATTCTTCAGTTCTGTCCAAATGACAGCATGACCCTTGGGATGCTGCTGTTTCTCAGGCAACAGAGCCCAGGCAATTAGCAAGACTCTTAACACATCTCCAGAGATTTTTCTGCGTTGTCTTCCCATTGCATTTGATTCTTTGTGGTTTTAGTCACAGTGATCAGAAAATAGAAGAGACCCCACTCACAGGCATCTCATTTGAAATCTCTTTTTTTTCCTTCTTCCTTCCATGACTGAAATTTTAGGTTTAAGTATGTCTTGGCTCATCTGTTGTAAACCATTCCCTTCACCTCCTGCCTGAACTGTCCGAGTAGCTCTGTGCTGCCACGTTGCAGAGCAGAAACGGCTGCACTTCACCAAGGAACAGTCCTGCATCTGTGCAAATGTGCAGGTTGGCACATTCTGTTCACACACAGTGTATCTCAGTACTTTTTCCATAGCAGACGAGCCTGTCTTTTTTCAAAAGTGAGAATATGGAGTCCCAGAATAACTATGTTAACTGCTAGAGATCTGTGAGAAACTTCACAGCTGCTATTTAGGTAGGCTATGTATCTATTAAAAGAAGAGCTCAAAAAAGCAATTGTTCAGCTTAAGAAAAGCTTAAGTTTGGTACTGTTTCTCACGCCATGGCTAGTTCCTTGCCAGTGAAGAAGTCTCATAAAACCGGACCGTGGCCATTTCTAGCACTGGGATAAAGGTCCTTCTCTAGAGAGACATTTTGGGAGATCCCAAGCTCCAGGGCTGGAATCACCATAATGAGCCAATGGTGACTCCAAGTGGTGAACGACTGCAAATGGCATCTTGAATTCCCAGTTTCAGCCCAGGCGTCTTTGGCCGCTATCACCCCCTCCTCACTTATGGAGAGCTCCTCTTGCCTTTCGGAAGAAAGTCACCTCCTGCGTTCTGCCCCCTGCCTGCACTTCTGCGTGCCCTCAGCCCTCATCGCAGTGCTGCAGTGGTGTGCCTGTTGTCTCTTGTGTCTTTCACTTCCTGAATATGACGGCAGGCTTTGTTATCAGACTTGCAGTGATTAAACTGCTCCCCTGGTTTTATCTTCCTTGGGAAAAAAAAAGGATTATAGTGAACATGTGGTCCCTTAGGGATGCTGATAGTTTGTGTTGATGCTGTGTGTATGTGTAGGCACATGCACAGATGAGCCAAAGGAGACCAGATAAATCGGCTGTAAACGTCTCTGCTAAGCTTGCCAATGCAGTTACAAAAGGTGGTCAGAAACATCAGCCCTTTCTTTGTTTGCTCTCAGCGTAAGCCTGGTTTGGGTTTTCTCTGTTAGCTACCCACAACCTTCTATTTTGAACGCTTTTATTGACTTTGGTCTCATTCTTCATCCAAGTGTATCCCGTACCTCTGGGCTAGATTGTCCCACAGCCCCTCCACTTGCCTGGATGTGCCATCGTGAATGACAGCCATCGCATGGTGACACCAAAGCCAGCCAGCTTGAACCACAACTTGACTGCATTTCTTCTCTCTCTCTCTCTCTAGCAAGCTGACTCAGGACAATAGGATAGAAAGTCCAATTCCTATCCTGCCTCTCCCAACACCGGACACTGAGACAGAGAAGCTGATCAAAATGAAGGATGAGGAGGTGAGACCCATTTCTGCCTGGGCCTCTTTGGTGTTGGAGCTGGAATCTGGGGAGTTTCTCTGGGACTGCCCCATAGAGACTTCCCACTCCTGGCTCCCACCATCATGGGCTCCTGGTGTGGAGGACAGGGTGTGAAAGCTGTGGCTTCCTCTGTCAGGGAAACGTGGCTCCATTCCACCCCATGCACAGATGCCTCTGTGCTCAAACAGGAGTTCATACTCTCTGAGGGATCCCTTTGTCAGCTCCAAGAGACAGTGCAGATCACCAGTTCCTGACCACAACAGTTCACTTTTTGACTATTTCTTCTCTGTCTCATGCAGTTACGGCGGATGCAAGAGATGCTGCAGAAGATGCAGCAACAGATGCAGGATCAGTGAGAGGCAGGTACTCGGAGGACAGAGGGAATCCTCCAGTGACCATCTGAGGCCTGGCAAGAGCTGTGGATGTTTAGAAAAGGTTTCCCATTTTATAGAGACTTGTGGGCAAGAGCTGCACCCGCACCCTCTAATTTATTAGCAGCAATGGTGGCTTTGCGGTCAGCGGATTGTGGAGGAGGCTGTTCACTAACAGTTTACTGATGTGTATTTCTTTTTTTAATAATGATTTTTTTTTTTTTTAAAGAAAATAGCCTGGGAAGTCTCAAAGGCATCCTAAAAAAGAGAAAAAGAAACAAAAAAGATCTCCCTTTCCCATGTACTAATTTCTTGTTTGGGAATGCTCTGGTATTTAAAGTCCTGGTTTCTCTGGTGTACGAACTTGAAGACTATCTGTGTCGATGCACGTAAATGTTTACTCCCAATTGAGGTGCTGTGCCCCGCTCTGTGTTCCCCTTGTCTGGGGCCAGCACAAGCATTGTAAAAGCAGCCGTACCCTCCTGTGAGTTTGATCTGCGCTGCTTGGGCTCCTCAGCCTGGGGCCAGCTCTGGCTCAGAGAGGGGGGTTTCTTTGTGCACTGACCTGCTCAGGGGTCCTGATGGTTGCCTGGTTTCCTGCCTGGGTTTTTCTGGGTTTTTTTGTTTAGTTGAATAGGTTTTGTTTTTCCTATCAAGAAACTCCAGGATCTTTGCACTGAGCAGCAAGGGACTGAGTCTCTTGAGGTCAGTTAGAAGAAAATGGCTTCTGCTGCTCTCCATTATGTCTTTCTGGCAGAGAGGATGAGGTGTTGACTGTTGCCTGCAAGGAGGAGATGATGGGAGTGAGCACCTTCCTAGCCATGGTTTCCTCCCACAGCAGGCCAGAGGTGTTGGCAGAGGAACCCCAGAATCCTGCAGTAGCTGGGTGAGGGTATCTCATGGTTTAGCTCTAGTCATCCAGCTGCAGTGTGTCTCTGGTGTCTGCTCTGAAAAGCACCGTGGCAGCCAGAGTGTTTTGCTGGGACTGCTTTGGAGGGGGTAGAAACCCTAGGGCTGAAATCCAACCCCAAATGCAGAGCTGTGCTCTACACCCAGGCTTTGTGGTTCCACAAGTGCGTTGCTGGCTCTGAGCTTCTCCTGGGGAAAGGGCCAGGTTTTGCAGGCTTGTAACAGAGATCTGCAAGCCACCTGTCCAGGGAGGTGCTCGGTGAGTGCGGCAGGTGCAGGAGTGTCATTGCATGGGGCTGAGTGCAGCCCAGCAGACTTGGCATTTGCTCTCCTGCCCTTCCCCTGGGACTCAGCCCTGCTCCCACTCCCTGGTCTCCAGCTCTTCCTGTCTCAGGGCCTAGTGGATCTGCTGGACAGAGATAAGAGCACTCTTTGGGCAGCTGCTTCTGTCTTGTTTTTGCTTCCTGCAGTATTTTTAACTAGTCCAGCCAGACAAGAGCCCCAGAGTGTTGATGTGCCTGACAGAGCAGGTCTCACCAGCAACACTGCCGTGCTCACAGGGAACTGGGGCTGTTGGAGGGAAGAGACACTTTGCTCTTCCCTCTGACTCAGGGAGTGCTGCCATGGGCTGGGCCCTTCTGCTCCTCTGGCTCCCAGTCCAATTCCTCTGTCCCCTTTCCCCCTTTGTATCTGCTCCTCCATCTCCGGCTCTTCCCAGTAGACCTCCCTGGATAGGAAGCACAGTGTTGGCCAGGATTAGCCAGGCCCTAAATTCTGTTATTAGGCACTGCGTTTGTGTGATTCCCCAGTGGGGCTTGAGAGTCCTGATCAGGGCTTGTCCAGGTGGTGAGTAGGTTGGCTGGTTCCAGTTATTCACTGTACAGAGCCTCAGCTTAGCCAGAACATGGGCTGTAGGGGCAGGGGAGAGACCTGGCGCAGTGTGGAAGGACAAAGCGAGGGTGGAAGCTCCTTGGCAGAAATGTGCAAGTAGGGCAAGAGCAGTGTCCAACAATGGGCTTTTTCCTTTTGTTTGTTTCATTCTCCCCTATGTTGGGCTCATAAGTGGCAGTACCAGCCTAGGAGAGGGGAAGGGTTCAGCTTGTCTTCAATAACATGCGGGACCAAGGTGCTTAAGGAGGAAATACAACCTTTCTTTGTGCGATGTGCTTACTTGAGCAGTGGAGTAGCCTAAAACAGGAACTTCCGCCAGATTTTCTGGAGCTGGTTTGCTGCTTTAGGAGGACTGCCAAGTTCTTAGCTTTATCCATGCTAGCATACTGGGAAACACCTTGCAGTACCTGTCCCCTCTTTTTTCTTATACTAGTCGTGTCTGTGAGGAGGATGTTCTATTGCAAATGAGCCCTGTCCAGCTAGAGAAGTTCCTCTCTTGAATACATTCATTCCTAGAAGATAAAGGAGACCTTTACCCTTTAGCATGGACATAGAGGAGCTGACAGCTTTTATCCTGGGCTATGTGTGGACGTGCTGTGTGCTGGTGAGAGTGCAGGGTACTGTAGTCACAGGCAGGCAGGATTACTGAGGGTGAATCTGCCCCTGTCCCTCTGGGTGAGGAAGGTTCATGGCTCCTACATCAACTCAATAGTCACAAGTCTGTCCTCTACAGACAGCTGAAGGCTTTGGCTACCAACTGGCAAAGATGGTTCAAGCTGCACTTAGAAAAAAATGCACAGGAGTGAGGCACCAGGCATGGCTTCTACAGAGGGGTGATGGTACTGCTGAAATCATGTCTCCATGTAGGACGTTCCCTGCTCAGAGCACCAGAGTTTGGGGGCTGCCTGGAAAGGGATAGAAGCTGACTTTGGGGGGCACCAGGGATTCAAACTGTCCTGGAAGGTGGCATCTGTTTATTAAAGGAGGAATGTTTTGTGCTGCTGCATTGAGCTGCACAGTAAGTGGAGAAGAGACTCCTGAACAAATGTAGCTTGGCCATTTGGCCCTGGCAGTGAGAAGTGTGGATAGGAAAGTAATTTAACACCTCCCCTCACACAACCCTCCACAGTCTCATATACGACCCCTGCACCCACAGGCACATTCCTGTGCCTCTGCCAAGCTTTGCCCTGCTGAGTGAGTCACTGCAGGCATCGTGTCTCACTCTGCAGAGCTGTCCCAGGCTGCAGCTGGGGCTGCCGGCACAACCTTGTGCCTGAGCTGTG